ATCTGCTAACACGCACCACAGCATCATGAAGATACGTGCGAAACGCTCGAGCAACCGCAAGCGCAGACCTTCTATGCACGACTTAGCCCCACGGGCGTAATGACTGAAGCCCATGGCATCAGCCCAAAATAGGGCTGCAGTAGAGAAGAATGAATTACACGCTAGTCAGCAGCCTCGCTTCTTTGCCCAGGTCCCCCTACATTAGCAATAATGCGTGCCAATGCGCGATGCCCATACGAGACGCTTTCTCGGAGACATTCGCAAGTGCTCTCAAAGCGCAGTCTCGCGTCAATATGGACCTCCCAAATACCTCAGTGACAGCTGCGAGGATATTTGCAGCCTCCTACAATTAAGATAATACCTCTCTCTCACTTTTCTGCCTGTTCACCAGCACAGCCTCTGTTTACTGGGCGGCCATCTGTAGCCCTATGACGTAAGCCACCGCCGGATCTCCGCCACAGCCCCGTTGCAACCTGCGGACTTGTTCGATGTATTTGCGCACAAAACGACAATTCAACATCGTCAGAACAAAATCCAATCGTTCTTGCGCTTCCAACTCGAGCTTCAAACCACGCGTCATACATTAGTGTTCCACAACATCGCACCAAGTACGAGCCCTTGTGGGACACAGCCTGTGCACCGTATAAATTGTACTCCAGCCCCAGTTTCATATAGAGGTGACTCTCTCCTTAAAGTAACTTGTACCAAGTCGAAGATGTACTGAACTCCGAGAGTTTGTAGCGCAGAAAAAATGGAGCTCCACCTGCAGTGGTAAAGCGTTTTCACGTCTAGGTTCACTACAGCACAATACTTCATAGGACCGCCTTTCCCATCGTTTGCCTTCAATGGCCCTGCGTGCCCCAATGTCGATGACTACCCTTATTAGCATCTTACCGTGATCTCGCACCTTGCCCTAAGCCGTACTGATTATCAGGACAATCCTGAGGCCCTCTTTAAATGACTCCAATACGATGCAGATAATCCGCTCCAACCACTTTGCCTGCGGTGTCAGTAAGCATATTGCCGCATAGGCTGCCGCGTCAGTAGGGCCTTATCGGCCCTCGAAGAAGGACTAACTTTGCTGCTCATCGACGGGAAATTCCCCTCTCTATGCATTGCATATATGCCTGCAGATAATCGGCCGAGTCTTAATAGCGGTCTAATGCTACATTGACCCCATCTAATCGGGCCGGCTTTGCCAATCTGACCTTGCCGCAACTCTGGAAAAATTTCATCAACGTGACTGCCGAACCTCGCTTAATCTTCCAGACCATCTTCGTTGTAACGTATCTACCTGGCGAGGAAACAGTACTACCAACTTTTCCATGAAAACCGCGCAAAGGGTGTCGCTGAACATACCCCTGAAGTCTGGCGTTACCAGCTTATACGGGCGTCCCCAGCGTCAGCATCCACCTCCTCCCTATCTCTCTCCAGCAACGACACTACTAATCTTAATGCTTTGTGAAAGCTCTCTGGCGTCCCAGATGTTGCTTCTTGAGAATTCATAGTTTGGGCGGCTCCTGGCGCCTGTTGCCAATCTACGTGTTCGCGTGGCATTCCCTGCGGAAGTTCCGCGATCTCGTCAGTCCACCAGTACACTGGGTCGACGTCGTTCTCTCCTTGGACCTTTGTCCATTGACGCATCACAAGCTCAAATACCGCTCATTACGGTTTCTACAATATATTCAGAGTCACGGCCAACAGATCTTCAGGGTTGCCCTCCAGCATGGCATGAAGGAAATCACCGATGAACGTCCTGTTCGTTCCAAACAGCTTCTTCTACCCCCTTGGTGAGCTCAAAATGCACTGCTCTTATTACCCATACACCAATAGCTTGGGTCACTATGTGTATTAATGTGCAACTAACCTCCCATGATACAATAGTATACCAAATTCCTTTCATACATTTTTCATGTTTGACATCCTGAATTGGCAAGTCTGTCGACCTGTGTGTGTATATAATTTTTTCTATGAACCGCGAACGGTTCCGTTTTTGAAACTAATGGAAGCGAAATAAATAAATTAAGATAGTTAAAGAATTTATTAATATATATGTGTGTGTACGTTCATGTTAACTTGAAAATAGAAATCGATTGTGACGTTGCCCTGAAGAAGATATTCTAAATGATAATAAATAACTTAGGATATTGTTGTACTGCAGTAATTAGCATCAATTTTATGTTATTACTTTAGAAATAATTAAAATATTTTTCCATCGGTACTAAATTCCCCGACTAAAGATTCATTCAGGCAAGATCGTAATGAGCGGTGAATTTTCTATCCCACTCATAGAGCACTCACTATTTTAATTATGGACCCACTCTTTTAATTAATTTAAAAAATAAAACCCTGAGAAATATGAGCATTGTGAGTACGAGTTTCATAAGATCTTTTATAATAAAAACAGCCAGCCAAGAATAGAAATTAAAGAAGAAATAGAAAGAAGGTAGGAAAAGAAAGAATGAATATTTCATGTTTGGTGATAATGGTTGGTAGCAGTATTTTTTTGCGGTTGTCAGTTGTTTGGTAGAAAGAATTTTGCGAGGAACAATCGCGAACAGCTGGGGAACAGTTGAGTGCGATAACAAGAGCGGGGGAAGTAGATTCACATGATTGTGGTCGGGCACTGTAAGAATCCGGTGAAAAATTATCAGTTAGGGGACATTTGCGGTGGCAAGTGGTGTCAAGCGCGTTGATTTTGTGGGTAATTATTTCTGCTATCGACACAAAAAAGAAGATGGTGAATTTGGGTGATTTGTTCCCAAACTTTAAGGCCGAATCAACGATCGGCACAATTCAATTTCACGATTGGTTAGGAGATTCGTAAGTATTGTCTAGGCTTAGTGACGTCTACTCTTATTGAAGTTTCTAAACTCGTATTCGTTAAATATCTGAGATGTTGACAAACAACAGCTTCGTAGAATATCAACTTTATTGTCAGATATTTTTCATTCGCTGAGCCAGCAGTTCAAATTTTAAATGCGGCGTAAAATTAAAAATAATATATCAGGGCACCCGTTACCAACAAAAAACTATTCATAGTTTTGAGGTTATCAATATAGGTTTGTTTAATTTCAGATGGGGCATATTATTTTCTCACCCTGCAGACTTTACTCCTGTTTGCACAACAGAACTAAGCCGTGTTGCCGAATTAGTTGGAGAGTTTGAAAAACGGGGTGTGAAACCAATTGCTTTGTCTTGTGATTCAGTAAGCGCCCATGAGAAATGGATTGATGTATGTAACTTCGTATTCTAGTTTATATTGTATTGATGCTGTAAAATTATGGTTATGCGATATATTTTGTTGGTTCTTTCAGGATATCAAGAGTTATGGAAATCAAGCCAAACCAGGATTTCCTTACCCAATTATAGCTGATGAAGGCAGAGAGTTGGCTGTGCAATTGGGAATGTTAGATCCTAATGAAAAAGATAAGGATGGTTTGCCTCTGACATGCCGAGCTGTATTTATAGTAGCACCTGACAAGAAGCTTCGTTTATCTATGTTGTATCCAGCTACAACCGGACGTAATTTTGAGTAAGGCGATTCCAATTACTTTGTTTTATGATTTGTTTGGTTTTAATTTAGAAATGACATTTGTGAAAAAATGTTTAAGTCGGTAATTGTAAAATAAAAAATAAAGATACTGAAGTATAGAAATTCTTAACTAGGAAAGGTTACGAGGATAATGTTGTGTATGCGAGAGTACTTTAATTTCTGATTTAAGTACCAAAATTTTATGAATTAAGCTTAAAGTCGTTTACTATGGATGCATGTGCAAATGGTGTAGATCCATTGCACAATTAAAAAACATTGAAAGGTTTTTTTTATCTTCACAGAAGGGGTGAAGGCTTCGCCACCTTGAAGCAAGCAATTGCAGTACAGCTATTATAGATGTGACATCTAACACTTGCATCTTTGAATTTATTTCTTCTGAAACAAGGCCATGTTCAGTATTTTATTTCTGAATTTCTTCCTTTGTGATGAAGTGAGATTCCCCTTGAAAGCATCACGGACCAACATTGCACATTTGTTTAGAAAAACATCTGGCCTCCAGCCCATGCATAGCCCATATATAAGCAGATGATTAATCATCGGCACCAGAGCTGACTTGAAATTTGACGCCGTGTGAATTTTTTTGACATCATGTGAAATAGCCATTCCTTCTTTACGTCTTCAACAATTGCAACTATGCCCATTTCAGTGCAAAACATCCAATCTGTTGCCCACTGAAAACTTCTCTTTTTGACTGAGCAGTTTGACATTCCATATCCTTCCACGACTTGCAAATGTTACCTACACTGTTTTTTCCTTATCCCCATATTTGTGTCTTCTACATGCCAGTGACATTGATTTTGAAATTTGCATACTATTAATACTTGCACTCTCTTGCAAAGTTTGATGTTGAACCTCATTATGTAACACTACAATCAATTATTATGAGTATCTAAAGCAAAATACAATTGAAATCATTGGTGAAAGGCAAGAAGTACTTTTCCTTATTTCAATTCTAAGGAAATATTTAGTACTGTAACGAAACCCAAGATTTCTGAAAACAACAACTGCACATAGCAACATTCCTTATTAAAATACAAGATGCAAATTGTTCTATAATTCAGAGTTAAATAAAATGATACTGAAAATATATATACATAACCAAGGATGTGATCATCAGGTCACGAAATGTCACGAGTGCTTGTAATGTGAGTAATTCATCAAAATTTTCCTTTTATGGAATAAATGATATTTGTCTGAAATTGAAGGATAGTCTTATCAAAATAATACACAGTCATTACATATATACTAGAAGAATATTGATGTGCATTTATAATTTACACATTTACTGATGCTAAGTTTTATATGATGTAGATGGAGCAAAGAGGTCATTTTCATGTTCTTTTGTGACTCAAATTTCAGCACATTTGTGTGTACTGCTCCTTTGATTGTTGTACACTAAGATCTTTTCAGATTTCTGGGAAAATTGTCCAGTATCAGTTTCATTATGCATAATGGTCATAAGTTAAAATATTTTGATGTTTCGTAGCTTTAAAGATACATGGTTTTTAGAAATGACCTGCTTTACGAATGAGAAGTGAATTTTACACCGTTCATTAGTGGATAATTCCATCTATGAGTAATATTAACACACTGTCTGTTGAAAAATCACTTCTGAAGTAGAACAGACAACTTTAAAGACTAGATTCTCTCAAATGGCATATTGCAAACTGGCTCACACTGCTAGTGGCTGGATTCTCTACGGTCAGGGATTTGAGTACAAATCAGAAAAGTTACAGAGTGAGTAAAATTTAGTAATAGTTAGTATTCTAGTGTTGGGAAACAAGCCTCTGACTTCAATAATGAAGGTATAAATAAAAACAACAACCACGACCTTTTGCAATTTTCAAAATTCCACTTGTTTTAATGAAAATCGTATCTATATTATAATCATTCAGCAAACTTTTGTTTTATTGGAGTGAAAAAATTCAGAATTTGTTTGTGAAAAAATCTTGTTTTAATTTTTCTTTTTAATTTACTTGTTCTTGAATGGAGAAAAATATGTAATTTAGAGAAAGTAGTGTAATGAAAATGCTGAAAATTAATGTCAAGATTTTTAGAAATACACAGGGCTTTGATGATTTAAATCACATGATTCATGAAAAAAAATTGATTTAAATAAAAAATATTATTTATCGTCAATTTCCCCAAAAAATTGTTAAAAATTTGAATGTCAAATAAGATGAAAATATATCCAGAAAACTAAAAAGAAAAATTAGTGAGAAGGTAAGGAATAGCAGAGAAAAATCTATATTTAAAAAACCTAAGTTTGTACCAGCCAAATTTGCATTGGCATTAACCCTTGCGAAAGAGAATAGTGTACATTCACGTCATTGATCAAAAAGATACTGTGATTTTGAGGTGTTAAACTGGAAAATTATAGTATACAAAATTCATATTTATTCGCACTAAGTATTTTTCTTGCAATAGTTATTTAAAGGACAGTACCAATGTTGTTGAAACTGAAAAATTGTTGTAAATCCCAAAAAAATTTATAAGACAAGTTTTTCTCATGAGTAGCAGAAAGTTGCCTTGATATGTATAAAGAAGTATTCCAGAAAGATGTTACTGATCCATGGTTTCTGAGTAGTTTTATGAAAATTCTAGTAAAACCCTTAATATCTCAGAACTAGGTCAATGTGATGTGGCCCCATAGTTCTACTGAGTTCTTTAGTACTTTCGTGTTTTCAGATATTTAAAAATTTTACCTAATGTGAATATTTAAATTTAAAAAATCTGACTTCTTTAATTCAAAAAAATCATGGTTTTTATTAACCTTGGAAATGCATTTTTTGGTATCCTTATAACCTAAAAATACCTTTTCTCTTTTCTATTTCGTCCTTTTTCTTTTTCTCTCTTTTTCTTTGCTTCTTCTGCTTTTTTTCTTTTTTTCTAGGCTTTTTCTTTTTTTCTTGCTTTTTCGTTTTTCTGTGCTTTTTCGTTTCTCTGTGCTTATTTCTGTTTTCTTGCTTTTCTTTCCCTTTTTTTAGCCTTTTCTTTCTCTTTTCAGCCTTTTATTTCTCTTTTTCTTGCTTTTTCTTTCTCTTTTTTCTAGCCTTTTTCTTTCTCTCTTTACTTCTTGCCTTTTTCATTCTCCTTTTTACTGCCTTTTCTTTCTTTCTTTCTTTTTTTCTCGTCTCTGCTTTCCTTTGCCTTTTTTTCTCTTTCTTTTTTTGCTTTTTCTTTTCTCTTTATTTCCCTTAGTGACATCAGGTTTTTCAATTTTTTTAAGATTGGCTTTAAATAGAGACATTTATGTATTGGTATTTAAAATCCAATTTTTATATGATTGTGCAAAAAACATATTTTTTCTTTGTTTTAGTGAAATATTACGAGCCATAGATTCTCTTCAACTCACAGACAATAAGAAAGTGGCCACACCAGCTGATTGGAAGGTTTGATTTACTTTTTATTCTTACAAAAATATATCTTATAGTAAATGTAAAGTCCTTATTTCCAAATTATATCTTGAAAATGATTCTTAACAAATGAACGAGGTCAACATAAGATATAAGAAATATTATGCCTCATAGGGCCAAGTGTCTTAACAATCAGTGCCCTCCTATTAACTACCATCAACATTAGTCTGTCACCTTTCCCAGAATAAATAGTCAAATGTAAAAAAAATTATAGTACATAAAATTTTTCCAATAGTCTGTTGGAAGGTGTAGAAATGTGTTATTATACATATTCATTATTACTTCAGAAATGTATTTTAATGGCAGATATTTTGCTTGCTTTTCAGAGTGGAAGTGATTGTATGGTCCTTCCCACAGTCCAAGATGAAGAGGCTATTTCTCTTTTTCCCAAAGGGATCACAGTAATGCCTATGCCTTCAGGAAAAGCCTATTTGAGGATCACTCCATATCCTGATTCTTAAGTGTCTACGCTAAATGCTTGTGATATAGATCTGAACATGTTAAACTTAATTTAATTTTAATTAGTACTTAAAATTCCATTTCAGTATTTGTTTCATTTGTCACTATTGAATAATGATTTCAATATTGAAATCTCATTTGCAAACTATGAAGTACTTACATATTGTTGAAAAATAATATAAATATACTAAAATTTCAGTTCCATGAGCGTCATTAAATGGTATTGTAAGTATTGTAAAAGCAATGACTGAGATATAGTTACATCAGTCACAGATTGTTATGAATTTTTCATGTGAAAATTTCTTGTATTTAATTTACTTAATAAAAGAAATCTTCATACAAGTAGTTAATTGAAGAAAGTTCTTTCTACAAATTCTGTCTCCATTAAGATTTCTTCATTATATCCTTACTTTTGGTTTGAAAGTTAAGTTGCAGATAAAGCCCACTGGGATGGGATCTTTGATTTTACTCTCCTTTTTTGTTTAAAGAAACTCTAATGATTGTGTAACATAAACTATAGTTAAGTGCACTTGCAAGCCCAAGCTCATTAAAAAAATTTCATTTTCTGATTGCAATCCAATTAATTTTTTCTTTACTACCTGCATTATGCATCACAGTGTGCACCCCTTCAAATTTAGCAAATTCAGAATTCGATCCACAGTGTCAAGAACAACAATGTAACAATTTTATAGCAATATCAATTTCAACATAAGCTTTAAAGTGGTAGGAAGATTTAATGGCATATTTCAAACAAATTATGCAAAAACTTCTTACTTGTACAGAAAATCGTACATGACTCTTTTTAACTCTTTGTATCCTGTGAATATGTCATCTTCATTTTACTGCTGTTTCTTATGAATGTATGTCTGATTTCTTTGTTCTGGGATAGCTTTATATTCTTGACAGCTGCCATCTATGACTGTACAAAGTGCATCTTTTTCGAAAATTTCACAATTTTTTGGTTTCCTAATACTAGAACTGTAGCATTACCTTAAGAAAATTAAAGTAATATTTCCTGGATATTATGTAATATTATGGAAATTTTCGTTCAAAAACATTGGAGACGCTTTTAAGAAAATGACATTTAAGCATTCCTGTAACTGGGAAATTTGAAAATATTTTTCACAGAAATACTTTGTTTTTGAAGTTCATTGGAAGTTATTTGAAGCACTTCAAAACAAAAACTGAATACAGCAAAATGAATTTTATGCCATCTTAAACAGTGTAAGTAGCACTATCCGTTCCAAAAGTTTGAAGAAAAAATTTGAAGCCATTGTTTGAGAGAATGGCTTAGAAACGTTTCTGAAAATGCAGAATATTGAGCTCATTTTCCCAAAAAATTTTGAGTTTTTGAGAAACGTTATGAGACATAATTTAAAGCACATGAACTCATAAATAATAATGTGAAGAAATCACTGCTAATGTAAATATTAACGACTTGTAATGCTAGTCAAAAAAAATGTGTCATGTGGATGAATTGCAGCGTCGTAAAGTGAAATTTGGAAAAACATCTTGCCCCCTCCCCCGTTCACCCATTGCGTCATTCACCCGTTGACGGCCCTCTCGGCACGGCCAGCCGCGGCGGCGTTCGAACAGCCCCGGCAGACACCAAACATGCGGAACAGGCAAGCCAAGCAGTCGGTTTATGCTTTCGTCACTTTGCATCTCAATATATTTTTCTTCCACATACCAAACTAGTGATGCTTTAACAGAGGCAAATGGTTTCGTATCATCTGTAATAATAGTATAAAACTATATTATTCACATATTTCCGTCTTCTTTCGAATACCGTCATAAAATTGTTTCAGGCATTACTTAAATTATCGATTCAGATTTGGAACTGTTTTCAAAAAAAATTGAACCAATTGTGTAAATATCACCAATATTCCATTGTTCGTATCACATGTTATTTTACGTCTAAGATCTTCAGTTATTTCACTACCAAAAAAATGAGAAGGTACGCGCTTTTATCCTACGACTTGATTTTTTATCAAAAAACGGCCTTCTCGACCTTGATAGAATTCACTTTGTGATTTTCTTTCCTCCAGTAAAATAGCTGAAGCTAATTTTAAACATGTTTCGTACTTTCGGACAAATTTGAAAAAGTGGGAAAATAGCGCGTTGTTATTGTCGAATCAAATTATTCCTCTCGAGATGGACTTTGGGCGTTGTTTTAATTTTGAAATTAAATTTATATGATGTTTGCTTTTACAGTCCTTGTGCCGGTATCAACAGCTCACCACAAAAAGTCCACACACAATATCTGTACATTATTTTACAACACTTTACCTGATGACATTAATCGATTAAATTCGGTACAAAAGTTTAAGACCCAAGTAAAATATCTTCTGCTTCACAAATATTTCTATGCAATTAAACTATAACGAGCATACAAACGGAAAGTAATATACATTTTAAGAGTGACATGTAATGTGATATTTACCATTTGGGCTGGATAATTTTGAAGAACACGTAACAATTATTGTACTTCAGCTTCTGCGCAATGACCCCTAACTCGATCAGGTTTTCGTCTAGTTTCCCTGATACTTGAGCAAATGCTGAGATGGTCCCTTGTTTTACTTCTGGACATACATGTAACTTCAAATTGAGTCCTGCAAGTTTGGTCTTCTCCTCGTAGCGCGTCACAAACAGTTTTTAACTGTTTTTGACGTAAATAAAAAAATTAATGGCTTTGCTACCCTTCTAGTCCGAATCTAGGAGAGGGCGCGATGATAATTCTGCGAGTATGTTTCAAACAATGGAAGTATGCACACGTGTAAGACTGGTATGCACACGGGTAACCAACATTTTTTTGAACGTAGGGATAGGCTTTTCGGAGCAATGACGTCTATTTGTTGGCGCCCGTTCCAGTAAAGCTAGGGCTGTGAGAATCCCTTCTTATCACGCCCCAATCCTTCGCAGCGGCTGGAGGCACAGAGAAATTGAATGCATGAAAGGAACGCAATTAAAGGGCTCCGTTGTAATAATATGCACGACGTATTGGAGAGAAACGTAAGTAAAATGTATATGCTCGTCCATGAAACTGTTATCGTCACTTCAAAAACTTCCAATTCTCTTAGAATTATGACAATTGTGAATCTTCATCTTTTATGTGAGGCCAAAAAATCTTCATTTATTCTGCGCGTCTGATTCTGTTCACCACGGTTGTCAAACCACGGTGTAAGTTGTTGCTCCGTGTTTCCTATATGCGACGGACCTTTACTATTGCTTCACCGTCACCCGCCTTAAAGAGGGCACATTTCGCATTTTGGTGTGTTAGTGAAATTTCGCAGTTACAGTATTAGGTAGTATCTGAAAAGTAACAAAATTTATTTTCGGGGACTACTGAGCAACAAAAAAGCGAGAAATTCCCATGTAATTATTTTTTATTTATTTTTGTAATTTCTTGGTTTTCTGGTACTTGCGGTGCTAACATGATTAATCAGTTAACCGATTCTTTATAGCAGAGTCAAATGAAGAACGACAATTGTTTTGCATAACAAATTAGCAACAAAACAGCGACACATTTTGAGTTTAATTCAATTTTTTTAAACTTTGCTATGCTAAGTTTACGGACCTCGCGAGGAGAAGGTTCGGGAATTCCAAAACCCACGCGGCACTGGAACTGTGGTTCGCAAATAGACAACTTTGTTGCAAATAGACAAGTTCACTAATACTGATTTGCTCGTTGCCCTTTTTGGGTTTATACTTCCCGTTCCATCTCTGCTATCGCTGCTACTAATCATTCTTGAGCCACCAAGTCACCTCATTGTCCGAAGGATGGCCAAGGTAAAAATTGGAATTATTTGGAAACACACAATTTTTCAAGATACATTCAGTTGTATACTTCGGTTATAGAGGATACGAGAACATCTGCCCCAATTATAGCACCAGTATTGTGATTTGTGAAATAAAATAAACTAGTGATGCTACAGAATGGCAGACTTTCTCGAACTAGTTCGTTTCCTTATTTCTTTGCTCTGTGCGGCTTTCTTTTCGGTTTTACTCCACCCTCTTCCCCATGGGAACCACTCCACCCATCCATTGCCACCTAAAAATATTTTTTCTCATTGTTTTCAATTTTTCGTATCCCTAATGATAGAACCGAAACATAACTATAAGAATGCCACAAAAATATAAAACCTCGTCATACATGTACATTTTTGTTAAAAAAATTAAGAAACTAACGTTTGAGTGTCTGAAAATACAGAACTGCGAGTTTAATTTCTCAGAATATTTTTCAGTTTTCGAGGAACTTTATGAGTAGAGACAGGATTTTTATGCAATTACATATTTTTTGTCTTTCTACTTACCGATCTAAAAAAATTTAATTTTGGCGAATCGTCGCCGTCCCAACACAATATCAAAATGTTTCGTTACATATTTGTATATTTAGTATATTTGTTGTGTATATTTAGTACTATATTACATATTTTGCTATTTTCACAAAATATTTTTTTATTATATCAATTTTCATCAATTTTATGACTCATTTGTATGAAAAGAAGTATTAAATAAAACTTTCTTATTTCCTCCATCGTTACTGCGTACTGTCTACTCAAGGTTAGCTACATGAAGACGCGATAGGATGTTGTCACAGTTCTGCTCGTCTGCATCAGTTACTCGGTAGCCCAGACTGCGTGTCAGTAACAGAGATCAGTTTCATCTTCGGGTACTAAAAGTATTACAGACGCCGAGTCTCGTGAACTTTAATCTTAATTTCCGAGAACTTTGCCGATCGTCGACGTGCAACTCTTCACTGAGAGTGCTGCACGCTGCAGTGATTGTTTGCTGGTCATAGATATCGCCAGTTTGTAGGATGGTTTCTATTGCGTCCAGTCTGGCTGCTAAACGGCCGTACTGAATAGTAGTAGATGAAGGTTTTAGACGTGACGGGAAAGTTGAATGCTACAAAGCACGGATCAATTTGTATTCTTCAAACTATTTTTAAAACGTTTGTATACTTTTAAAACGTATGACATATTTTTTAGAATTGTAATTTCGTAGTATGTAAATGTTTCTTTGATAATTGAGTATTTTGATACGACATATTTTATCCTATTTTACATATTCATTTCATATTCTTACTGTTTTCATTACATATTTACGTACATATTTTGACGTTTCATAATACATATTATTCCAGTTTCAATTTATGAGACATTAATTAAACGCAATAATGTTCACAAGTCACTGGGAATGTGCATATTAAGGACGTGTGTGACCCCTTTTTAGTGAGTGTTCAAGTTGTGTTTTTGATGAAGCACGCTCCCAAAGAATAGAGTATCGCGGGCGCAACGTCGCCAAACAATTAATTGATCATTTAGTGGTCCTTGCAAAAGATTATCAATTTCTTCTGAAGCATCCGGTTTCCCTCCTCATGCGGAAGGAAGATGAAATTGCTTTTCAACATGCCGCCTCGTGTCACCTCTGCATGAGGCCTTTTCTTCCTAGTACTATTCGTGTTAGGGACCACGACCATTTCACGGGTCGTTTTCGTGGAGCAGCGCATCAACATTGCAATGTCAACTTCCGGGCT